GAGGAAGGCAAAGTCTCCTTTCATTGTACCCGCTTCCCTTCCATTCTCAGCGAGACTCTTCCTACTTCCAAGACCTTGGACAAGTCTATTAACTCTCTGGACCCCCCTCCTTGTCTGTAAAGTAGGTCTAAGGATACTTCCAGCTCCCCCAGCTTGTGTAAGGACTGAGAACTTGGAAGGCTGCTGGCACACAGCACGCACAAGTTTGGGCTCTCCCTACAAAACAGTAGTTACTATACCACTACCGTCCCTAAATGATCACTTCGGCGGCAGAGCTGGCTCACCCCAAGGCACCCAGCCAGAGCTGAGCTGGGAGCAGAGGGAGAGAGGAGGACACACACACACACACACCCCGCAGCTCCCCTTCCCACCTCTGGGCCCACACCCAAGCCAGAGACGGCGGGGGAGGGTAACAGGTCGCCGTCCCCACCTGAGCGGAGAGGCCCCAGGCTCGGAGAACTGTCCCTCCCCAAGTCTCCCTCTGCCAGGGCGTCAGAGCCACCGCTGCCTAGCTGTCAAAGCGGCTGAGCGCACCAGCCTGGGAGGCGCAGTGCTGGGGTGAGCGTTTTGGGGAACATCTTTCGGGGGCCCCACTCTGTGACCGTGTGACCGAGGTTTCCAGCCTCCCTCAGGGGGGACTGGGTGCGGAAACATGCATTGTCCAGCTCTCCCCGTGCAGCCCCAACCCAAGCCCAGGATCCACAGCCCCCCAAGGACGCACAGCGAGGCCATCACACAAAGTCCTAGCCCAGGAAAAAGAGCATTTCGAAGGAGACCAGGTCTCCTGCTGTCCCCACTCCTGAGGAGCCACCACTCGCTTGCACAGCCAGGCCTGCCCCGGCCTGCGTGGCGCGGCGTGGGGGCGCGCGTAGGGACCCAGGTTTCCCGGCGACGCGTGCGGGGGGCGGAGATCGACCCGGCAGCCTGGCTGGGCCAGGGCACTCACCGATGGACACGAGCTTGATGCTCTCACGGTCCAGGAACTCGAGGGCCACGGACACGTTCTCCAGCTGCATCTGGCGGAAGGTGGGCCGCTGGTGGTACTTGCGGTACATGCGTTTCTGGCTGAGCACCTCGATCAGCGCGATGAGCCGCAGCCGGCGATCGGCGTCACGCTCAGTATCAGGTTCCCGATGCGTTTGTTCACACACTTGAGGTGCTCGTTGCACCAACGCGTGAAGGTGTTCTGCTGGATCTTCTTCCACGGCGCGTCCTCCGCCAGGTCCTTCTCAGTTACCGGCATCCGGTGGCGGGAGAGCGCCAGAGGCAGGACGCTCCGGACGCGTCGGGAGGCCCAAGGGCCGGGGGAGCGAGAACCGAGAGCGGGAGTGTGCTGAACTCCCTGCTGCTACTAGGAGCTGCGGGCTGGGATCACTTGCAGCCGCCTGCCCCTCGCCGCGCGAGGCGTCTGGACCCGCGCCTGCGCACTGAGCCGACCCGCCCTCGAGGCCCCGCCCCGTCCCAACCCCTCGGCGGGCGTTCCCGGACCACGCTCGCCCCCTGCGGTCCCAAGCGTGCACTGCACCCCACGGCCGGCAAGGTGTCCAGGGACCCCGTGCTCGGTGCTCACTACCTAGGCGAAAAGGAAGCCAGTGGGGAGACATTGGCTTAAGAAGAAGGTCACCGGAGTAAGGGGCGTTCAGGATGGGCGGGAGCGGCGGCGTGGGCCATGAGAGAGGGGAGTGAGGGGAGTAAGTAGCACTTGATCCACGTATAGGTTCGGTAAGGTTCAATAAAGGTTTTTATTGACCTCCTGCTGTGTGCCAGACAAAAGTGTTAGGCACTGGAGGACACGGAGAAGGAATGGACACTTTACTATTTGTATCAGTTAAATTCACGTGAATTATAATAGTGTCATCAGTAGCATTTACTGAGTGCCTATTGTGTGGGAGGCCCTCTTAGCACTTGAGAACTAATGGTAAATAAAACAAACATTCCCTGGCTCCTGGGTGGCTTTGTCCTTAAGCGTCCACTCTTGGTTTCACTCTGGTCATGATCTCACAGTTTCTTGGGTTAGAGCCCCACTTTGTTAGTGCAGAACCTGCTTGGGATTCTCCCTTTCTCTGCTCCTCCCCACTCTCGATGTCTCTTTCTCTCTCAAAATAAATAAATAAACTTAAAAAAAAATTTTTTTTTAAATAAGACAAACTTATTCCTTGACCTTGAGGAATTCATACAGTAATGGGCGAGAAAAGTACAAATCAACTATCACAAACAGCTTAGTAGTAGTAATAGAAATGAATAATTTTCAGTGCATATCAGTTTACTAATGCTGCTGTAGCAACTTACCAAAACTTTGTCTTTAAAAAGCCACAAATTTATTATCTTGCAGTTCTGTAGCTTAGATATCCCTCATGGGTTTCACTGAACTAAAATCAAGGTGTTGGCAGGATGCATTCCTTACTGTAGGCTTAGGGAAGAATCTGTTTCCTTGCCTTTTCCAACTCCTAGAAACCTCCCTCATTCCTTGGCTGTGGCCTCTTCCTCCATCTTCAAAGCCAGCAACATCAGGCTGAGTCTTTCTCACACCGTCATCTCTCTGGTTCTCCATAGTCACATCTTCCTCTTTTAAAGACCCTTGTGATTCCATCCGGACAGTTGGTTAACCCAGGATATTTTTAGATCAACTGATTAGCAATCTTAATCCCATCTACAGCCTTAATTCCTCTTTGCCATGTAAGTCATATTGACAGGTTCCGGAAATTAGGATTTGGACATCTTTAGGGGCTGTTATTCTGCCTACAAACACCATATATTGAGTACCTGCTGTGTACTCATCCAGGCCCTGTGCTAGGTTCTGGGATATAGCAGAAACTCAGGCCAGACCTCTACTGTCAAAAGCTGAATAATTGTAAAAGTAGCAGCTAGCTTTTCCTGAGTACCTGCTCTGCCCCTGTGCTAAGAGCTGTGCTAAACAGTTCCTTGGCTATTGGCCACACCTGACAAGAGTTAACTGGGAGGTTAAGGGACTTGCCCAAGGCATACAGTACAAACAGGACTGGAATGCAGGTGTGTAAGAAAAGCACAGAGTGTCCTGGGGCCAAGAAGAGACCCATAACCCAGGTTTAGGGACAGGGGTCTTCCTGGGGAATCTGAGTTGGGCAGGATGGAGGTCAAGGGCTTCCAGCCTGAGGGTTGCCCAGGAGAAGCCAGCAGATTTGTGGTTGTAACATTTATACAAACAAGTCATTTGCATACAACACTGAAGTGCTTTGTTCAGACAGATTGCCTCACTCACTGGAATGCTCAAAACAGCCAGGGGGTTGGGGGGAGAGTGGATTACCTGGCCCTGGCCCATAGTAGGGACAAAATAGCTATTTGAAGGACCATTCCACTCCTTCAGTGATTAAAGAGATTTGCTAGAAGTCAGCTGGTATGGACTAGGCAATGCTGGTCTTGAATCTGATTCTAACTCCAAAGTCTGCACTATGTCTAAAGGCCCCCTGAGAACCCTGTTCTCAGTCTGGGTTTTGCCTTTGTTCACACCATCTGAGCACCAAAATCACTAGAGGCAGTGTTGGTAACCTTTGCCTCCCTCATACCCAAGTTTCCTGGTTCCCCATGCTTTCTCCACCCAAACTCATCCATCAAAACTTATCAGCCAGTGTCTCACGCCCCAAGGCACCTGCTCCCTGCCAGGGAAGATTGGAGCTAATGGAGAAAGGGGGCTAAGGCCCCCTTTCCCATATAATTGTTTTCATCAGGTCTTGACACAAATAACTAAATAATTCTGCATGTAAAATATCCAGTACACTTCACCCAGAGCTGAGACACCCCATTTTAGGACAAGTCTAGTGATTCTCTCTACCCAGTCAGAAGAAACCAAAGAGTTCTCCAGGGAACAATTCATGGGAGATGAAGGGGCCTCGGTAATCACGGTAGAGGTAGAGGTCAGTGGCTTGAGAACTGAGGAGAGGAAGCACACAAAGTCTTCAGATGACTCCTCATCAATATTTGATCAAAGAAAAGGGCTGAACAACTCAGGTAGACATTTCTGCAGGTAGCATTTTAGCTAGTACATTTTTATAGTTTTGCCCGACAAGGCCTTCATTTAACAAATACCCAATCCCGGTTTTCTAAATTCTGTCCTAGCCTTCTCTGATCTCTTGGTATAGAACTGTCCAAAGTGGGGCGCCTGGGTGGCGCAGTCGGTTAAGCGTCCGACTTCAGCCAGGTCACGCATCTATGCTTCAGAGTTTGATTCGCTGGCTCTGGGCTGATGGCTCAGAGCCTGAGCCTGCCTCATTCCCAGGTTCCCTCCTGCCCTCCCCCTGCCCATGCTCTGTCTCTCTGTCCCAAAAAATAAATAAACGTTGAAAAAAAAAAAAAAAATTAAAAAAAAAAAAAAAAAAAAAAAAGAACTGTCCAAAGTGGAAGAGTGTAAAGCAGCGAAAAGCCCAGGCTTTGAGTGTGACTTTTGGCTATTCTGGCTTTGTGATCTTGAACAAATAGCCTCTGCAAGCTCCAGTCTTCTGGTCTAGGTAGTGGAGGTAACACACCTCTTCCTAGGGTGCTTCGATAAGGCAAGCAAAACTCTTAGCATAGTGCCTGGCACACAATAAACACTCTATAAAGGTAGCTGGAAACCAGGCAAAATTAAGAGACCTCACTACCAGTCCCTGAAAAAGCCGGAATTAGCTGCATTTTCCCTAGCTGACTCTAGCATGTCTCTGTAAAAAGCCATGGCTCCCCTCTATGTCCGTTACTCACAGATATGCTGACACCAATCTGCTGCAGCCCCGAGAGATCCCAGTCAGAATAAACCGACTGAGAAAACACAAGTAGAGCCATCACCCCTACAGGTCAGCGTAGACCTGGCAGGACAGCAGCAGATGCGCAGACACCCACGAGGAGAAGACTGGCTGAACTTGAGGATAAACACCGGTGGAAGACTGAAGCACTATGAGTCTACTTCTCAACGTTGTACAAGTCGCCGGATCAGTGGGATGGGAGGGGTTCTTCTTTCTAAGCAAGTGTGTGAAAGTTCACCTGATCACCTCCATGCTTTTGCTCAGACAGTTCCCTCTGCCTAGAATGCTCTCATCTCTCCTTTCAACATGGGAAACCCATGCCTGTCCTTTAGTCTTCACTCTCTCTCTCTCTCTCTCTCTCTCTTTTTTTTTTAATGTTTATTTTTGAGAGAGAGAGAGAGAGAGAGAGCAGGGAAGGGGCAGAGGGCGAGGCGGACAGAGGATCCGACGCTAACAGCAGAGAGCATGATGCGAGGCTCGAACTCAAGAACCGTGAGATCATGACCAGACCCAAAGTCTGATACTTAACCCACCGAGCCACCCAGGAGCCCCTAGTCCCTCACTCTTACAGCCCTTGCAGTCACACCACCTATTTTATGCTAAGGTTTAGTTGCTGTTTTCTGTGCCACTTGTTGAAGGAGGGCAACTGTCACATCTGTCTCCTGGCAGGGTGTAGGCTGGGGTTTAAGACCTAATAGAACCTATACTGTCTAATAAAAATATCATGAGAGCCACATTATAATTTTTTTCCACAATATAATTTTTAATTTTCTAGTAACGCTTAAAAGTTAAATGTCACTTTAAAAGAAACAGGTGAAATTACTTACAATAATATATTTTAACCAATAATAAGATGACCAACTCAGGGCACCTGAGTGCCTCAGTTGGTTAAGCGTCAGACTTCAGCTCAGGTCATGATCTCACGATTGTGTGGGTTTGAGCCCCATATCAGGCTCTGTGTTGACAGCATGGAGCCTGCTTAGGATTCTGTCTCTCTCTCTCTCTCTCTCTCTCTCTCTGCCCTTCCGCCGTCTCTCTCAAAATAAATAAATAAACTTAAAAAAATAAGATGACCAACTGTCCTGATTTGCCCAAGACTAAGGGGTTTCTTGGGTTGCAGGCCTTTCATTTCAGTCCTAAAACCAGGAATGTCTGGGGCAACTAGAACAAGTTGATCACTTTACCCAATATATCTGAAAAGATATAATTTTCAGATATACAATTAATATTTTTAAATATATTACTGTCTTTGAAGTCTGACATGTGTTTTATACCTACAGCATGTCTTTTTTAAAAAAAATATTTGTTTGGGGCGCCTGGGTGGTTCAATCAGTTAAATGACTGACTTCTGCTCAGGTAATGATCTCACAGTTCCGTGAGTTCGAGACCCACGTCAGGCTCTGTGTGGACAACTCAGAGCCTGGAGCCTGCTTCAGATTCTGTGTCTCCCTCTCTTTCTGTCCCTCCCCCCACTCAAGCTCTGTCTTTCTCT